CTAAACTACAGAAGTTACTACAACTAAATTCTAATCTCTGAGGTCCTTATATCCACAGAGAAATTTTTAAAATAAAACATAGTGGTACTTGTAAATTTCTAGAGGTTGGGGCTGTTTGGGGTTTGGTTTGGTTTTTGTTTGTTTGTTTGTTTGTTTTGTTTTGAGTGGTAGGGGGTTGGTGGTTTTCTTTCCCAGAACTAATGATTGATGGAGAAAAATATCCTGTCTCTTTTGCAATTCAGGAGTATGCAGGTATGGTTCAACCTCAGTTTCTTCCAGGAAGAGTTGCAGTGAAAAAGAAAGAAAGAAAGAAAATCTATACGCAGCAATGCATTTTTTAAAAAGGGTTCAGGTATAAATGAACAAGTTACATAAAATGTGAATATGAACTTATAAATGAAAAATATAACATACAATTAAAGTCATCCAAAATGCATACGTCTCTCAGGCAAGTTCATGCAGTACTTCAATAAGTATACACTGTTTGAGCTATATGTGATAAAGACATAATTTACATACAAATCTTTGTTCTCTTTCAATGAACAGAGATTGTATTTTAAGTGTGTGTGTATATCTACACACAGAGACATAATTAGATATGGAGCAGCCAATATCATCTATGATTTTTAGCATAATATTGTCAACACATTAAGTTTGCTATATTGCACTGCACAGAGGAAAGTGGGAAAATTTCAGTAAGGTTTATTCAAATCTCATATGCATTATCAATGTATTTCAATGAAAGAATTTTTAGGATTTGCTTTCGGTTTTGTATTTCAAATAGCATAGCACCCTCTGGTGCATCTACTTGAAAGAAAACAACTAACAATAAACACCAGTCATTGTTACAAAAAAGACAACATTAAAAAAAGAAAAAGGAAACCCTTAGAAACAAAAATGCCAAAGAATTATCAGAAAACAAACTTCTTTTTCATGCTTTCTTATTAAAATCTTTTGTAAGTGAGGAAATTTTAAGTGCTGAATAAAAAAAATTTAAGAGAAAGAAAACTGCAGGTGTGCTAATACAGAAGGGTGCCAGAAAAAAATTCTAAAAAAGACAGAAGTTTGAAGCTAACTCTGTGTTCTTAATAATAGGTCATTTTTATTAAAAAATATTCTAAAGTGGAATATTATTTAAGTAAAAAAAGGTAAATAAGTTAATGAAACAAAATGTTACACCAAGCAACATATCTGCTCTTGGACTTGCAAGAATGACAATTATTAGGACTATACCTATCCACATGCTCAAAACCTGCTAAATTTCACACCCAAATCATCTCTTTTCAAAGTCCAATGAGAAAAGAATTTAAAAAATGATGCTTATACTGCATGGAACAGTTCATACTCTGATATGACATTTTAACTATTAAAACACAAACTCTGACATGACCCTACAAACTATTAAATACACCTAGTCACTAGGAAAATAATCTCTTACAAAAGTACATTTTGCTAATCACAGAAGTGGAGATCACCATCTGCTTCAGGCAGTTCTTTTGTAAACCTCTGGAAGACTCAACACAAGGCAAAAGAAATGAAAGTGACACCTGTTTAAATCAGCCATCTGTCTCTAACAAACTAGATTTAGCCAAATCAGTGTATGCACTGATCCTTAAATTTCCAAAATATGGGTACAATAGCATCTGTGAGAAAAGAGAAGTATTGTTACAATTGACAACAAACTGTAGGCAAAATACATAAATAATAAATTTGTGACTAAAGAAAAAAATTTCTTAAACGTTAGTCTATTCATTTTAAAAGCCTCACTAATTTTTTCAGCCCTAATTCTTAATAAAAAAATAAGCATTTTCATTGATAATTTCAAAACATTCTGCTTTTTTGTTCTAACACATTCATTTGACAGGGAGTTTGATTTTGAAATGGAACTCCCACTACGTGCATATTACATTTCCACTGAAAGCTTATTTTTTATTCTGTTTGTATTTGTAAGGCATTCACAACATGTCTTTTCAACTGAAAATTATTTTTAAAAAGTATTTTAATAGTCAGATGTATTTTTTAAAGCCTATTCATTTTTTAAGCATTCCTCTTGACACTTACCTGCAGATGGTAAGCTTTTGGAGACTGTAGGTAAAAATAAAACTAATAGAGAATTTTTTAAGAGCGAAGAAAGCCTCTCAAAATAAAGCATGAAAATCAGAAACACTAGGTAGAACACTAAAAAGAACTGCAATGACAAAGCCTTCCTTCTCAATATAAAGTTTAGTAAATGGAAAGAAACTGCAATATTTATTTCTGTAGGCAGTTTTGTGATTAACAAACTACCCTATCAGGCAGGAACAAGAAATGGGATAGCGCTAACAAAGCTGAACCTAATTATCAAATAAAGCACCGTGACTTTGAACTCTTTAATGGCATTGCACCTTTGATTCCCATTTCATTTACCTACACTACATTACTGAAAGGGTTTCTCCACAGTAGCACAATGCAGGTTTAGCTCACTAGTAACACAACAGAGCGTAAAATCCTGACTGGCTCATTTGGATACACTGAAAAAACATTAGGTAGTTACACCACATAAGTCATGAAAACCTATGTGTTAAAAAAAAAATAATCACAAGCCAACTGATTTTCAAACACTGGTTAGCATCACAAACACCAACTATTTTGTTAGCTGTGGGCATTAGGGAATCAGAATGCATAATGAGGATCTCATCTGTGGTCGTTACACTATCTCAGTGATAATAAGGAGTCAGTACTTTTCTCAGATACCTAAAGTATTATTTTCCAAATTGCAGTCACTGGCTAAAGAAAATGGAGCTAAACAGTACTACAAAGGTTGCTGGTTTTAGACAAAATCATGTGCTTTTAATATAATTTTTAAGACCTGTACGCCTCCTCACAGAGTTAAAACAGAAAGTTTGTCTCACAGACACACACACACTTTCCCTTGCTACCCAGCAGCCTGGATACATATTCTGCAAAGAGATTTCAATACCCAGGGAATGACCCAATCCTAAGTAGTATTCTGTCCCACTCCAAGAGGACTGTTCAAGAAAGATATGGTGGATATGGTGCAGAGCTGACATCCTCTCTTTTCAACAACAGTAGGTGCCAGAAATTATTTAAAAACCAATGAACCAAGAAAATAATAACAAATGTATCAAGATTTAAGTATGCCATATAACTGATACCATCCTAAAACTCGCACTAAAAATTATTAATGTCTTTAACATATTTGACAGTAGGACCTAGAAAATCAGCATGCAGTGGTTTAATCTTTGAGTAAAATAATAAAATAATGATGACATAAAGACTTTTGATCATTCGTCAAAATAATTTATTTCCTAACTAATTGTAGGCCCATGAAATGTACATTAAAAAGAAAAGACAGATCTAATGTGCCTTACCTCAAGAAATATTAGTATCAACAATGCACTAACTACTTAGCAGATTTTTGTAGTCGATACTCGCTTTAAAAAATTGCCACATTTGTTGGTAGTTCCAATGTGAGACAAAATAAGCATCTTGTAGCTGAAACTGTAATGAGAAATCCTGCATTTTACACAGGGTTCTAAAGATAAAAAAATGGAAAACATGCATATACAATTAAAATGTAGGTTTTAGATTAAAAACAAGAATATAATTTTCTTCTAATTATTTTACTATATAAATAAGTTACCACTTCAAAAGTAAAAAAGCTTGCCAAAACAACACATGATTTGACAAGTCAAAGGGGAGAGTGCAACTAGATATGGAGATGTTAAGAAAATTTCACTGCCATAAAAGATGCCTAAAATTCAGTTCATCCAAAGAATTCAAAAAGTATAATGCAGTATGATTTGACATTACTGACAACACAAATCTTTAGATCCTAATAAGCAATCACAAAAAGGATGAAGAAAACAAGCATTTTGGATTGAAAATACAAAGCAAACCATTCTCATTAATAATACGATTTCTGTTACATCTCGAGAGGTAAAAAGCTGCCTCTTCCCTCTTTTCCAAACACTACTGAAACACAACAGCAATAGCAAAATCACAGAGACTTTGTTTTAATACTATTTCTTATTTTCTCCTTTCTTTGATCCTCCGCACTGAAACTTGCAGTCAGGATCTTGAATTGCCATCATTGTGGAGAGTTTAAGGAAACTGAAATGGATTCTCTCCACATGAACGTAACTCGTGCAATACACTAGACCTACACATGCACAGTTCCATACTACACTGGCAGCATGAAAGCACTATTTAAAAAACAATTCCCTGCAAAAGGAGTGCAATAAGAAAAAAAACAACCTGCTACTCCGTGTGTGTATGAGTGGGGGTATGAATAAACAAAAACGCACTTCACAATACAAAGAAAATGTAGCCTGCACTAAAATAAACAGCAACACTAATTATGAATAAAAGAAAAAATTCATACAGAAAGCACCAAAAAAAAAAAAAAAGAGAAGCTGATATGATCGACAGTAGGAGACTATCTTTAAAAGATACAGCAAGTTCACAAAAACCTGCAACATTTAGTAGTCACATTAAATCAGAACAAGGCCCCTGTACGTGAAAGGGGAAAAACAACCCCTGCTCTTGCTGTGCTACAGGATCCGTCTCCGGCTGCATCTTTCCTCCCAACCTCAGCTGGCTTTTTTTCGGGTTTAAAGCCAACAGCATTCGCCTGCGGCCGATTTCTCCATCTCTCGACCCGTACGATCGAGAGACCCGAGCCGGACGCACACCCACCGCATCCTAGCGATTGTCCCAGAGGTCCCGCAGCATCGCCCAGCCTGTGCTGCCGCTCACCCGCGCGGGGCCGGCCCCGCTCCCCGCCCCGGCACCCTCGGCCGTGCCCGCACCCCGCTCCCACCCCGCGCCTCGCTCCCGGGGCCGGGGGAGACAGGGGGGGAGGCCGGGGGTGCCCCGCGCGCCCCGCGAGCACGGGAGAGCCGCGAGGGCGCATCCCGGGCCTGGATGCCGCGCGGAGGAGGACGAGGAGGAAGAGAAGGAGAAGGGAGGGCCGGGGAGCGCCCGCCGAGCGCATTCACCTGTGCCGGGGCGGGCTGCGGCGGCGCTCCCGCTGTCGCTGCTGGTGCTGGCGGCGGCTGCGGTTGTTGTTGTTGTTGTTGTGGTGGGTGACGGTGAGGCGGGGGGTGCGGAGCAGCGGCAGGAGGAGGAGGAGCAGGAGCGGGCGCGGAGCGGCTGTTGTTGATGGGTAACAGTCGCCAGGACTACGGTGACTATGGCGCTCGACTCACAAGGCAACGGTTGCTATAACTCACAAAAGGGAGAGCGGGCGCGGAGGGAGGGACCGGCAGGCGGACGGAGGGAGGCGGGGGCGGCGGCGCGGCCGCGCGCCCCGGAAGGGGCGGAGTCTGCGGTAACGGCCGGCGCGCGCGGGCATGGGCGGTGCCCCCCCTCCCGCCCGGCCCGGGGGGCGCGCGCCCACCCGGCTCTGTGCTCGCGCGGGGGTGGGCGCGTGGGAGTGCGGCGGGAGGGCAGAGGGGAGCGTAGCGGCGGCGCGAGGCCCGCGCGGGGGCCGCTGACGCCACTTCCGGTGGAGGCCTGGCGGGAGGGGCCTGGCGGCGCAGTCCCGCCCGTCGCAAGATGGCGGAGGCATATACGCTCGCTCTCCGCCTGCGGGCCCATGCTGCCATCTTCCAGGGGCGAGAGGAGGAGGAGGAGGAGGAGGAGAGCGAAGGGGAGGGGGAACGGGTCGCCGGCGATAGGCGGCGGTGGTGGAAGGGGGAATGCGGCCGCCGCTGCGCCTGTCCCGCCGGTCGCCGGGCTTCTGCGGGGGGCCCAGTTAAGGCCCCGGCGTGCCCAGTGGCCCCTCTCGGCTCACGTGGCCTTTGCGACCTGAGTGCGGGCGATGGGGCCGCGGGTGCCCTGCTGGCACAGAGTCACAGGATCAACTGAGTTGGGAAAGACCTCTGAGATCAGCGAGTCCGACGTGTTACCGAACACCACCGTGTTAATTAGACCATGGCGCTGAGTGCCACATCCAGTCTTTCTTTAAACACCGCCAGGGAGGTTACCGCTTGGGTGTGGTAGCCGACTGCGTTCCTGACAGGCTGTATCTGCTTGTTCCAGGTGTATACAGAATTTTTAGGTTGAGAGGGACCTCTAGTCCAACCTCCCTGCCAAGGAAGGGTCACCTAGAACAGGTGACACAGGAACACGGCTGGGTGGGTTTTGAATGTCACTAGAGAGGGAGACTGTAGAACCTCTCTGGGCAGCCTGTTCCAGAACTCTGCCACCTTCAATGTATACATTAAGAAATTCTTGTCTATGTTGAGGTGAAGTATACTTGGGGGATAGGAGACCTTGAGGCTGTTTGTGTACACAGTGCCCCCACATCTAGTGGCTACAGCTTTATACCTCTAGTTCCAGTGCATCCCTGTCTGCAACCCTTTACTACGCAGCAGAGTATCTCTGAAGCTCTATACACAGCTGCTGCAGTCAGTGCAGCCACTAATGCTTGCCTGTAATCCATGTAAACCATGGCATTCCCTCATGACTGTTCCTTGTGTACTGGTCTGTATCCTCAAATATTCCACCAACACGTTTTACCCGTCTTGACATCTTTCTCATACCTTTTGCTACAAGAACCTGACATTTGTGTGGCACGCCCTGCAACTACCCCACTTCACATGTCCCTACAGGAACAAACTGAAATTGCTTTTACCTACCACAGAAGCATTGTCAAAACGTTGATCGATTTACTCTGATTTCCAGGACCCTGTGTAACCGTTATAGCTGTAAAAACTATTTACTAGAAAATAATGGAGAAAGATATTAAGTATGTAGGAACAACAGCTTAACCGACAGAGATTTAAGTCTATAACACAACAATCTTGAATTAATAAAACTTGCATCACTAGCCTTTTCAATCAGAAACATTAAAATGGGACACAGGTATGAACAATCTAATAACAATATATAGCAATGCATTTAATTGATTTGATAGTAAAAGGTACTTTTATAAGCATCTTTCATTCTATCTATCCAGCAAATACGGTTATGCTTATTTAGCTGGTATTCTAGTACATGGAAACGTTTAAGGATTTGTGTTTTCATTGAATTTTAAATTTCATATGAACAAGGTAAAAGACCTAAAAGGGGTGTTGGACACTGAGTAATTTTACCAGAAAAATTGCCAGAGTGATGTGACCCAGTTCCCTGGTAAAAGCTTTAGCAACATTCATGTCATCCATGTTGCTAAAGAAAGCATTGACTTAAAGTGTTTTACTTCTGGATGTCTTTTCTGTTGTGTCAGTTGTCACTTCCATGGTTATGTTCTTGGCAAGATGAGCAGGGTGAGGTGTGGTAAATGCCATAATGTTGCAGGATTAAAACCACTGGGCGGTTAATTTTTTTACTCAAATCATGAAACTTATGTGTCTGTATGTGTGGAAAGAACAAATCAAGGTCTTGGCAGAAATTTAAAATATAGACTTACAAATATCAGTAAACATTTTCCTGGAGCGAGTATATTTGCAAAATATTTTAGTCTATACCAGCATTTCAGTCTATAAATACATGATCAATTGCTGTGTCAAAGGGAAGTAGCTAATTTTGTTACAGGAAAATTATTTAATCATTTCAATGTTCTGATGTTTCCATCTATAAAATTATTTTGCAGAGGTACCCAGGATCTAATGGAAATTCTTTCAAATAATTTCAAATAAATCTCTACAGATTTTTGTTTCAACATTTTATCAATTTGATCTTGATCAAAGAACACGTCTCATCTTAATTTTTTGAGAGATTATCTCCTTTTTTTTGAATTTGTCAACATGGAAAGATAATCACTAAAATATTCAGTCACTTCATAGAACTTTTGTAACAGCATTAAACAACCTGCCAAATTGAAATATGAAAGCACTATTGATTAAAAGTGGTTGTATTGCTAAAAGCTTTGTGGTTTATATTTAGATACAGAATATGCTGCATATCTCAATTAATTTTATACCTTCTTATATGGATAAGGAATAATCAGAATATAATCAAAGTTTTTCCCCAGTGGACTAACAGAGGGCTGGAACAGAAGTTGGTCGTGGACTGCAAAAATTATTGCTTTTTGTTGTCAGAATCAAAACTTTTAACACCTCTGGAAAAAAGAACTGGCATCATATGCAGGAATTTCTACTGCAATTTCTGATGTTGAGAATGGTAGTGGAAGAAAGACTATTCCAATGGATAACTTTTTTTCTGATACTGGATTTATAATGCTTTAAGTTTTTGTTTTTCAACAGTTACATGGATATTTCTTAAAAAGTCATAATTAGCTGTCTAGGAATTTCAAACAACATTTCCCTTTTTTAAATTTATTTTGTTAGGTCCACTTCAGAGGTTGCTTGCATTTCCCAGTGGTTTTTAGATACACTCTGTCATTTGTAGCATATCTGAAATATACCATAATGCATTCCTGTCAGCCATGTTGTACACGACACAGTAGCTATATATCTTACGAAACAGTACAAAAGACAACACAAAATACTGAAGTAAAGTGTGTGAAAGCAATCAAACTGATTGGGTACATCAAATCCAGTATTTTTACTGGTCCAGATGGTATGAGTTAATGCCTAGAGAAGTGCAAGAGCAAGCATATATGTGCATTTTACTTGTTTAACTTTGCCACCCTGTGACCGTTTTCAGCTTACTGATTTTCTGAACCCTGTATGATTAGTCTTTTTTTGTAAACATCAGAGAATCTTTTCCTAGAATTTGTCCAAGCACACCGTAAACATATGTATAAGTATCATTTTTTGCAGCATCTTTCACAAAATCTTTTGTCAAGAAGACCCAACTGTCTGGCAGATTTTATACAAAGAAACAAGCCCTTTTGCATTCTTGGAAGTCTAGTCCCATTAATTTCTGTGATTTTCATTCCTTTGAGTGCTCATAATGAGAGGGAAAAAGGCGAAGGAGATATGTACAGATGTTCGTGTTAAGGGATAGGCAACTTAGTGCAGATCTAGACGCTGCAATGTCTGATTGCTTGCCGTGGTTCTTTTGGATACTGTAGTAAATGCACAGATGACCGAACAGTTCTACTTAGGTCAGTTGTTTGTTACTTATCTAATGGGTAAATACTGGTACACAAAACAGTCTTACACTTAGGCTATCTTATAGCCGTAACAAGTCATTCACTAGTGTCTTGAGTATTTTTTACTTATCCCCCTTGTGGTGTGGATGTCCCCTCTTAACTGATGATCTGCATACTTGTAGTCCAGCTATATGTGGTACCTGTTCTCCAAATGCCTACTGATATTTGGCTGTTGTTTACGGTTAGGAGAAGTTGGCTTGGTCCATTGGCTAGGGTCAGTCCCTTGCTGTTCTCATGAATAGTATCTGCTTTATTATGTTGGCTTTTCTTCTTCAGTTAGCATCCCAGAGTGTCGTTGAATCATGGAGTCATAAAATAGTTTGAGTTGGAAAGGGCCTTCAAAGGTCACCCAGTCCAGCCCCCTTACAGAGAGCAGGGACATTTCCAACCAGATCAAGTTGCCCAGGTCCCTGTCCCACCTGACCTTGAATAGTTCCAAGGATGAGGCATCCATTACCACTCTGGGAAACTTGTGCCAGTGTTTTACCACTCTCATTGTAAAAAATTTCTTCCTTATATCTAGTCTGGATCTACCCTTCATAAGCTTATCCTATCACTACAGTCCCTACTAAAAATTGTGTGTTAATCTTTCTTGTAAGCCTCCTTTAAGTACTAAAAGGCTGCATTAAGATCTACAAAGAGCCTTTTCTTGTCCAGGCTGTTCAACTCCAACTCTCTCAGCCTTTCCTCATAGCAGAGGGGCTCCAGCCCTAATCCTTGTGGCCCTCCTCTGGACCTGCTCCAACAAGTCCATGTCTTTCCTGTACTGAGGATTCCGGAGCTAGATGCAGTGCTGCAGGTAGAGTGTCACCAGAGCAGGGTAGAGAGGTACAGTCACTCATTCAGGAACACATGCTCTATCTATCTGTACGAGACAGTTGAGGAACTGAGATGCCTTTTCTTCTACTGACTCAACTACCTGTGCAGTCTGCATGTTTGACCTTGGGGATGGGAACAGATGGCTGCACTGCTTTGCTGGGCAGGAGGTGCAGTAGTGCACACATTTTGTGGTTGCCTAGGCCTTCTGTTATGTGAACAGTAGTGCTATGCTGCTTTGGAAGGCCTGGGTTCCGCTGAAGATAAGTTTATATCTTTTCCACATAGAAAATACTTTATTTTCTTAATTTATATTCTTAAAATTATTATTTATTGTATTTATATTTTACCCTAGATGCTGGTTGTCTCATCAGTTGTTGATGAGAGAGATTGGGTATTGTCTACTGTCAGGG